AGGGTGGGGGGGGTTAGTGGGGGCGTGTGGTGATGAATATCCACGAGTGCTTTGAGGCATGTGTGCAAAGGAGAAACAGCAGGGTAACACAGATGGAAGTGTTGCGCGAACTTGTTCGGTCATTGTCATGATGAGTGAGTCAGTGTGATGTGGCTCAACCGCAATCATGTTATTTTGAATACATTTATTTTAATATTGCTCTGCTGCTCACAAGTTTGGATCAAAATTTTACAAATAGCTGTCAGGTGTTTCTTCAGTGTAGCAGTCTCAAGAAAGAAGATGTGTGTGTGTGTGTGTGTGTGTGTGTGTGTGTGTGTGTGTGTGTGTGTGCGTGTGCGTGTGCGTGTGTGTGTGTGTGTGTGTGTTTCCATAGATGTCATGGTTCCACTCTCTGTGAAGAGACAAAATGACAGCAAGATCCCACATGGGACTACTATTACCTGGGGTCCCCCTCGAGTGTGGCAGCATTGTTTAAAAAAAAAAAAAGTTGTTTTGTGCCTGAATCCAACACACATATCACACATCTTTGCTAATTCTATTGTTCTAATTGTTTCATGGCCTACCCTTTTTAAAACACAACCAGGTCGTTTCTCAACAAAAGATCAGCTTGAATTGTCGTTTTAGTGAAATGATTTTCTTACGAATCTTCTTCGACGGATAGATGTTTGAAATACAATTTACCATTTTTTTGCAAAACCAAAGGAAAACATTCACTAAATAACCGGAACATCGAGTGCGACTTACTGTAAAGAGAAAAGGATCCAAGGTCTGCATTGAAATGTTGTCAAAACAAAGAGAACTGAACCGCCAAAGCAAATACGTTGCGTTTAATAGCCAGGCATGTGCATGACGTCAGCATCGCACAATGCGCTGCTTCCAGTCCAGTGCATTGAGGACAGGTTACTGAAAGGCTGAGTCATCATGCCTCCGAGTCCTTCCTCTGAAATGTTGCGGAGGAAGAGTGAAAATGCCTGTGTTTATCTACAGCACATTTTCAAGCTTTAAACTTCAGCACGAGCTGAGTCTGGGAGACAAAAATCGGACCCAGGTCTCCGTTTGAGCTTGTTCCACTGACAGTTTTGAGGACGTCTTCCTCTCATCACTACCAATGTTATTGAACACACTATACCTGCTTTTAGTGTTTGCTCACAAACTGTACGGAAAGCCACATCATTGCTCTGAGCTTCAGTTCGGCCTCAAATGTCAAAACATTTTTGAATGCCTTGAGCAAAGTAAATATGAACGCTGTTAAGAATGCTACCAAATTTGAATGATTTTTTTTTAATCGCCACTTGGATAAAATTAGCCTTAAAAAAATCATGGAACATCAAGCCGTTCTCTCTGCTCTCCAACACTGTGGGCGTGTCTGATGAATTCACCAAAGCCACGGCCTGCCCAGCTTTCAACCGTCAATCAAATACCATTTCTACGATCCAAAAAAGTTGTAGCATCTTTTCTATGCCTCCACATAAACTACATGAAATGAAAATAAACAACAAATATCCGCTTAAAAGCCTCTGGTGGCTGAAATATATATTCCACTGGATTGTCGCAGGACTTTTCCACGCCGGCACTAAGACCTTGTTCACATGCTGGGTGTCAAGTTGAACTCTTGGAAAAAAAAATGTATTACCTCACTTTTTCTGCCTTCTCTCTGTGACATGTGCACACTCATGTTCAACAACGAGGCACTCTTAAGTGAATTTTCGGTGCGCAGGCATATGTAGCCGGCTAACTGCATGTCGCAATTACTTCAAATAACCACTGATGCGAATGAAGGCAGGCGCTCAAGTTCTTATGTAGTGGAGAACATTTTAGCCCCGCCCCAAAAATCAGGATAATTGCTCTCCCACCTAACTGCCTCTTGGCTCGGCTGCGTGTTAATTCTTCCTCTCCGAGCGGCTGTTTGCAGCCTGTGCCGTGCAAACGGCCAATCGTGCGTCGTGGCTGTTACGTCTCTGTGAGTTGAGTCAGAGCATCTGCACTCAAATCGGAGGGGATCAAACACCAAAATGAAAAGACTTGACTTCCAATTTTCATTCCATTTACTTAACGACTTCATGATTTTACTTGTGAAATGCTTTAAGGAGCGGCGCGTGCCACTGGTGATCAGGGAGCAGTAATAATCGACTGGACCGCAGCCATCTCCGCACGATGGCAACGCGCAGATGTCTGATTGAAGCCTTAGCAACATGAAGTGTGTGTGTGTGTGTGTGTGTGTGTGTGTGTGTGTGTGTGTGTGTGTGTGTGTGTGTGTGTGTGTGTGTGTGTGTGTGTGTCGTTCTGACCAAACGGTGCATTAATGTCGCTCCCCTCAGCACGTTTTCATCTCTGCCGAAACATAGAGGCATGGCTTATTTACCAAAGTGTGTGTATATGCGTGGCATCAATGTGTGTTTTAGGGAGTGGATGAGGTCTCATTCAGCAATCTCCACATGCACCCACTCCATTGCACAAAAGGGGTAGGCCATGAGTATGAGAGAGCGGGAAAAGCTGAAGAGGCAGCTGCCACTTTGCTAATGTGCGGATTGAGATAGAACTAAGAGGGTCCCATAGAAAACACACACGTGCATCCATATGTGATGCTCGCTTTTTACTTTCAGACATACAAAGATGCCGCTCTTGTGTACTGTATTACGGCCCATCCGCGTGGAAAAGTGCGTACAGCCAGAGATGCCTGACGCCGTATATTAAAACTCTTTCAGCGCCAGCCATTTTCAGACCTTTCTTTACCACGTGAAAAAAAATTTTAATATAAAAAGATGTACACGGGGTTGAATGGCTAGATTATTTAAAAAAAAAAACAACATGAAAAAACATCCATGGCATCAAATGAGTTAAGAGAATGGCACCGCGCGTGAAGCAGCCACACGTTAGCCGAGCGCGCGCGCGCACACATTTATAATTCGTTCTGGGTCACCACGAGCGACCGTTTACTCGTCAAACTGTTCAAATTGTGCTTTTTGAGACTTTTCATTTCCAAACAACAAAAACCTCGCTCTCAAATTAAACAAAGATCAGCAAGGGAAATTGCCCAGGAAGACATCTGCGACTCATTTTCCCCCCGGAGTGTATGATTAGGAAATTCATTTATGTCTAACGTATAATTCCTGCCCGTCTTTCAAGTGGGAAAGTCCACACTGCGCCCTGTGTTCTAGCCCTTGGAAGAAGGAACGAAAAGTAAGGAGGGTGGGCGGGGGGGGTGGAACCAGCTTGTGGGATTGGGTTAGAAACAAAGAATATGTTGCTTGCAGGAATGCTTCCCTCCTTTTTTTTTTTGTCTTTAAGATATTGCGAGGTTTTCACCGCATCGTTTTTCAAGAGGGAAAAGTGTGTGCTGCACTTGTGTTCTCTTTGCTGAGCTGGTGGAAGCCCCAAGGGAGGGTCTTTGTGTGGAGCAACCACACGTGTTTAGTTCTGATGGCCAAATGATGGGCCCCGTCCCGCTGTGGTCTTGCTACCCGTAATTTGATGTTTTTACATGATTCACTGGCTGTTGCCGGGCACATGTAGCCTTAACTGACTGTGACAGAGTTGGAGGAGGAGGTCCGCTCTTTGCGCGGACGCCAAGTAAATGATACGACCACTCGAGGGTCTTCTGTCAGAAAGCAACGTTTCTATGGTTCATTTAGCCAAATGACAGAAAAGACGAGGAGACTACAAGGGACGGCAAGGTGAAAACGGAATACCGTGGATCCCAATGATCTTATACCGCAGGATTTCCAACAGTTATTCAACTCTGGAATCTGGTTTTCGTAAGGATAGTAGAGTGCAGAACTTCAACAATCCTCATTTGAATCAACACCTTCTGCACATGCCTACATTTGATCATGGAGATTTCATCCAATTGTACATCCACCAAATATGCTGGGTGTGCATTGCCAAGTTATGCAAAAAAAATATTCAATCAAATTTGGGGGGGCTTGAGTGCCATTTTCACACATGACATTAAACTGTATATTGGACACTTATGATAAGTGTCAAACCCCAAAAAGTCAGATTCTGTCCGTTAATGCCATACTGAAGAAGGGCGGATGGAGTAAAATCCTGGATCAGACCAAAACAGTATTCTTTGATGTGACATGGTTTTATGTGCAGGTTGGCAAAAAATAAAACTTAACATCATAGGCAGATGTAAAGCAAAGACTTTTGCGTCCTATTTTCGTGTTCAGTGCAAGTCTAGCATGAAATGAAGTCTTAACTTTGCTTATGGGTGGATTTTTCTCTCCTTTGGTATTGTTGTGGATGGGGACAGATAGAAAGGGGCGTTTGCGTCGTTGTGGGAGCGGACTCAGTCGACTTGCTCCCTGGCATTAATTTAAATTGATGTTGTGCAAGATCTACTATGGTTTGCAGCAAGTGGATTTTTAATGGCACAATTATGTGTTTTTGAACACTGGCTAATCTCTGGATATGTTTGAATGAAATGAAATCTATTTTGATGATGATATTTTTCAGAATTATTTTTAATTGATATCCATATCTATGTACCCATGTAAATTTGGGGAAATAGTAGGCCACAGAACAAAGCCAAGGAAAAAACATGTTAGTCCGTCGGGTTCCAAAGATTTATGTGACTTTTTGTTGAAATGTTTGGTCAACTTGAAGTACCGCCACATTTCCTGAATGTTTCTGACTCTGCCATCTTTCTTTTGCTTTGCCAGGAAATGGATATGGCAATCATCGCAACTCCCCCGGTCTGCTGGTCTCTCAGGCCGGCATGAACAAGAACATGCAGGCAAAGTCACCCCCACCCATGAATTTAGGCATGAACAACCGCAAACCCGACCTCCGTGTTCTCATCCCGCACGGCGCCAAGAGCAACATGCCCTCCATTGTGAGTAAACCAAACGATCTTCACTGATCTCCAATGGCCGACTTATTTTTCCGCCATTCCATCGTACGTCTTTTTATCAGACCTGTATTTCATGGGGCCATTTGTTTCCAGCCCAAGTCTGAAACTTTATTCACTAGATACCACCTCGAAAAATACAACGCTCTCCCGAGCATCAGCATAGTGATCAACTTTAAAGTTAGGTCATATAGGAAGTGTTCCTTTAAAAAAAAAAAAAAGTGAAAGATTTTATTCCTGATTCAAATCATTCAATTAAAATGCATTGCAATTCAAAATTGTACTGACATGTTGAAAAACAGTTTGATAGATTCAAATGTCAATGCATGGTACTGTCGTTAAAAGTTAAATACAGCTGAACTGTACTTGAAAAATGGACTGCACTGGAAAGTTAAAAAAAAAAAAAGCGCAAGCTTCTTTTCATACAATGCCTGTGTGTATTGCTAGTCTTTAAATGTTTTTTTTTTAAATTCAGGGATTCTTTCACGTACTATGAGAGAGAATTGTTGTACCATAATCTAAGAATTGCTGTGATTGACTCGGCACTGTTTCCCATGAAGTTTAAATCCTTTTTTCGTTCACACTTTTTTTTACTCCAAATTAATTAAATGCATTCGTAATCACTGATGCAGTGATGGCGTTATGTGTCCCCGAGAGGTGAAATCACTTCAATCATAACTTTTATATGCGTTTCATGAAAAGTGGGAAAGAAATTAATCAATAGTTCATCACAACTTTATGAGCAACAGTGTACATGAGCGGCTGTGTTTATGTCTTCTTTAACCTCCCCCCCCCCCTTGTCATTATCGAAGGTTCGTGTCGTGTTCTATATTCTTAGTCGCAGTTTCTTCCTTGGAGCCGCACCTAGTCGCCACTCTCTACTCACTCGCAAACTCTAATTTGAATTTATCACCCTCCCCTTTAATGCCCTCAGTCTGATGATGTCGATCTGCTTTTGGTAAGTCGGACTGCTCAAAATGTAGAAAATGCCAGCAGCCTCCATCAAATGAACCCGAAGCATCTTTACCTCGATGTCCAATTATTGCAGAAACTTTTTTTCTTTTGATTTGCACCCACTTTTTGCTGCCACTACTAAGATCACTCGAGCCTGATATTTCTGAATCCAGTCAACTTTTTCCATCTCTGGAGCTGAACTGCGCTCAAGTGTGCTCAGTGGGCTAGTTTTGTTATGTTAGATCACACAGTGCCCCCCAGTGTTGTGTGTCTGTAATAGCACGTTGACCTGACAGCTAGTTTCATAAGTTTTTTTTTGACATTCAGTTTCCGCCTTTCGCTTTTCTCCGTGCATACGGCCATGCCAACCACACACACACACAATTTACAGTGTCCTACTGTGATTTGTGTTCCGCTTTCTTTTTTTTGCATCCTTCACCAGCAGATGCTCACCTTTGCCACAGAAAAGTGTGTCCTCTCTCTTTGCCACCGCTACCCTACGTTGCCTTGGAGACAGATGGTGTTACTATAGCGACAGCGGGCCCTCACTCAGGGTAAATGACAGGGTTGGCTGGGTTCAGTGCGTGTCAGGCAATTGCTTCCCCGCGCAAGTTGGCATCACATTCATTTTGTCGAGCATCTGCTGAGTGGACGAAAGGAAATGAAAAAGACGAGTAGAACTTTTCCGCTTTTCGTGAGGCCTTGTTGTCCATTCAATGTTCCTAAGTCTCTTCTTTTTCCTCATCTCCTTGTTCTCCGTCGATTCCCTTTTCCTGTGACAGAACCAGAGAATAAACAACTCCCAGTCTGCCCAATCATTGGCCACCCCAGTTGTGTCAGTAGCAACTCCAACTCTGCCGGGACAAGGCATGGGTGGTTACCCGTCGGCGATCTCCACTTCTTATGGTACAGGTATGCGCCACACCATATCACATTTATTTACACTGGCATGGTCATTGTAATGAGTGACGATAATGTTCAAATATTTTAATAAATGAGCACCCCTCTTAGAGTGTGACCATTTTTCATATTTGCTACATAAATGCATTGAACGACAATATTTGTGTTTTCGAGTTGTCTCGTCACCTGCTTAATGTGGCTCTCGAATAGAATGATGAGCCCACTGCAAAAATGATCAGGTTCTCGGCTTTTGATATTTATAGATATGTGCTTGAGTATAACCAAAAAAAATAAATCAAAATAGTTTTCAACAAAGTAATCACAAGATGCAGTAACTCAAAAATCCCAAATGGAATTATTGTCATTTAGAACTGTGGTTCTCAAACTGACACCTTAAATCTCAGCGCCACCTAAAAATATATTGTAATAACAATAATAATAATAATAATAATAGTAATAATACTTGGCTTAGTAGCAGAGACTTTATTTCTAACAAGTAAGGCATTGTCACATTATCCACAAATTGATCCTAAATATAGGAGCTTCATTTCAATTTGTGCTCATATCTTCAAAATCTAATCTAATCTAATCTATGATAATATAATGTAAGAAATATTTTTCGGCCTTGATGTATCCCTCACGTTTGAAACGTTGTAAAGCAATTGAACAGAAGAGGGTGCTGTTGTCACACAAATGAGTAAAGAGGTCGGGAACGGTGCCTCATTCAACCAAGCTACGTGCTCTTTGCAAATTGCACACATTCCTTACGTCACTGAATATTTGTTTTGTTTTGTTTTGTTTTCCACCACGCAGAGTATTCCCTAAATAGTGCAGACTTGTCTTCGCTGTCGGGCTTCAACAGCGGCAGTTCCCTGCACCTGGGCTCAATGAGCGGCTGGCAGCAGCAACACCTTCAGAACATGCAGCATTCGGCCCTCGGACAGCTCGGGTGAGTGGGAGCAGCTCGAGTTCTTTTGGAATGCATGGTTCATCACATAAGGATGATGTCACACCCAATAGCCAAAGAATGTTACAGTGGTACCGCGATTTACGAGTGACCCGATTTATGAGGGTTTGTTTTTCGCAGTTGCTGGGCTCACTTGTTGCAAGCGAACATTTGAGAGACGAGCACTAGATGGTGGCAGTGAACTCAGCTCAAGAACCTTCACAAATTAGCAGCAGTTTGGCAGATTATTTTTCATTGATCAATATTAAGAGGCCACTTGCTTTTGTCACTCCCAGTTGAGGTTTTCTGTCTTAACTAAAACCTAACATTCAATGTTTATTTGAACACAAATGGTTTAGCAACACATACAGACAAACGGTGTATCCCTATGTCTGTATTATATTGCCCCCTGGTGGCCAAGGCACCCAAACAAGAAGAAACCTCACAATGAATTAATAATGATCCGCAAACGATTTAATTCTTTGAATTCTGTTTAATCGTGTTGTAAATTTATGTTCGTAAGAAGTACAATACTGTAGAGTGCTTTTTTTTTTCCAAAATAAAAAATGTTGGTCTTTGACCGAAGGGCTTCAATAGATGAATTCATTTCCACAAGGGAAGATGTTTTGTGTTACTTGCACGGACAGCAGTCGAGGCACCACTGTACCGCACATCACCCATTGTTTCCAATCTTCACCGCACAAATACGACACCTCTTAGGAATAGACAAATGCATGTTTGTGTGCTCTGCATCTCTGTAACACCTTTCCTTTCCTCTTCCTTCCTACAGAAATTGCTCTAGCTCTCACTTATGTCAGGGTTCAAATCTCTCCCTGCCCTCTGCTCAAAGCCTGCACATCAAGTCCGAACCTGTTTCTCCTCCTAGAGATCGCACCAGCAGTACACCGGGGGGCTACGGCGGTGGTGTTGTAGTACCCCCCCAGAACCCCTCATCCCGCCAGGACTCGGGACGCTCCCCAGTCGATAGCCTGAGCAGTTGTAGCAGCTCCCACGAAGGCAGCGACCGCGACGAGCACAGGAACGAGTTCCACTCTCCTCTGGGACTGGCACGGCCTGCCCTGGACGAGCGCGAGAGCCCCTCCATCAAGCGGGTGCGCCTGTCTGAGGGGTGGGCCACATGATAGCACGGCCCTCTCCCCCCGACTCCCCCCCAAACAACAACAGCCCCCCCTCTTTGTCAGTACCGAAATCATCTGACAGCCCGTCTCAGAAGTCTACAACCATTTTTATTTTAGTTTATTTTTTGAGGGTTTTATTTTTGCTGAGTGTGTAAGTGTGTGTGCGTGTGCTATACATATGACATCACATAACCCGGTGGGCTCTTGTAGATGTCATTCGGGTAGGGGGTGTTTCTATTCTATTTTTGGTTGGGGAACTATGCATAATAAACCGCTTTGCGTGTGGATCAAACCAATCACAAATGCATATATCTCGCAACCTGTGTACATATATGCATCTCGCCAACAACAATAGTCAGGTACTCTGTTTCCTACAAGTTACAGTTCACCGCAGAGAATCATCAGTGACTAGAAAAGACAAAAAAAAAAAAAAACCCATTAACATGAGAGCGAGTGCATGAGGGTCACACCTTAGCACTTGGCAAACACGCGTGTGTACAGTGTCAGTTTGCTCGCTATGTACCGTCTCCCTCGCAAAAACAAGTGTGTGTTCACATTAGATGATGTCATGTTGCAGGTTCAACGTATTTATGTAAATAGAGGTCGAAGGGGAGGGAGTGGGGTGGGGGTGGGGGGGGAGTCAAGAAGTTGCCGGACATTTCAAGATTTATTTACTGGCTAAAGGAAAAGCTAATATGCAACATTTGAAGGACTGTACCGGTCATCGGACCCCAACGTGTTTGGAACTTTTGGTGTATAAAAAGTGGGGTGAGGGAGGTGTGGCGTGAGGACCACCCTCTGATCCAAGAGTTAATGTAATCAACAAGCCTCTGGATCGAGTAGTAACTATCAGTATTACTAAAAGAAAGAAAGAAAAAAAAAAGAAAAAAAAAACAATTGTACGATACACTTGCTTATATTTTCATATGAAAGGAATACAATGCAAAGCATTTTTGTGGCTTTTTGTAGTTTCTATAAGCCAGAATGTGTTTTTGATAGCTTTGCTAAATAAGAGAAGGATAGTGCACCCCACCCTATTGTGGGATTTGGGGGGTGGGTGGGGGGGAATGGGCTTTGGAGCCCTAAGCCATGAAACAGACTGAGATCCAATGCTTTGCTGAACTGTTTTATCTTTGTAGAGGTTTGTTATTAAACGTGTATTTCTAATTATATATAATAATGGTAATATTAAGAATCTTTAAAAAAAAAAAATCTGTGAAATTAACATGCTTGTGTATAGCTTTCTAATATATAAATATATATAATATTTTCTTTTTTTGTTGTTGTTTTCCTAGTGGAGTTTCTACGTGCAGTTGCACATGTTGTTTGGTTTTTGTTTCCTTTGAGCCCTGAGCAGAGCTGGTGTATTTCCTACAACTTTTTTCAAGCAGTAAGTGTGCAAGCGAGGACGACAAAGAAATCACGCTGACGTAACAATCGCGTCCGGCCCAATATGCATTTTGATGTCCCACATGTTTCATCCTTAAGCTTCATTAACTTATTGAACATGACCTTGTTTTCCCTTTATTCGGCTCGACACAACCTCAGCTTGTCACGTCCAAGGCTCAAGCTGTACAGTTTCCATTGTGAGCTATTTAAGTCATAAAATTTGGCCAAAGGATGATGAGGAATAGCCCCCAAATCATTTGCAAGCTTAATTTGATTCTGTATCTCCTCAAGTGGAATTATTTTCAAATCAAACATCATTTGCTCCCATTTTTGACAGCTACGTATAGGAGAAAATGTGATCAGCGGTCGCTAATTTCTGATCGATAGCTGTTTTGATGACCCAAACTAGCCACTTATCTCTGCCTCTGAGTCATGTATCTGCTGTCATTTAAGTGTTATGATATTTCAATGTGCATATTTCATGCAGGTTCACTATGTTGTTACTGTATAGTCTGTGCATTCAAACGGGGGCAGAGCCTCTATAGCAGTGTTCTTCTCACTCTCTTCTTTTTTTTTTAAATTCAGTACAAAAAAAAGGCTGAGAGGGAAAAAAAAATAAATGTTTGAGGCGAACGAGTGGAGAAACCAAAGCCAGTGGCATTTGTGTGTTGTAAACTTCTTATTTTCACGTTCATTTATGTTTTTACTTTGCAAGCATTGAAACATGACAATAAAAAAAAAATGTTCAAATGTACAATTTCTTTCACACTTCAATTCCACTCAAGTCCAGTTTGACTCTGTGTCAATGCTCACAGCATTTACTTCTCTTGTGCGTTGATTTTTTTTTTGAGTGATGTGTTCTCAGAAGTGCATGCATCAAGAAGTCACATGACCCGCTAATTAGCATCTATTTATATTCACTCCCAAATTGAGCTCTTGCCAGCATGTCTTGGTGATTAATTAAGAGTTGAACATTAACCAAAGACATGACGCATATTTATATTTTCTTTTTTGCTGTTGTTGCATTTACTTGTTTTCATCATCTGTTGATCAGTTGCTGTGTTGTCGATGATTTAAGAGATTAAGAGTCATGCTGGTACCTTCCAAATGACGCAAGCAGTACCTCAGCCGATGTATTCTCGAGTCACTTTGCAGTGCAAAAAGGGAGAGCCTCCACCTGTACAGCCATGTGTAATAGCATATCGTCCCTCTTTGTTACTCCACATTGTGTGGTTTATTTAAATCTCGAAGAACAACAACAACAAAAAAAAGGGATCCTGTTTCTGTTCAATGCTTAAATCGTCAGTCTGTAGTGTGAAATGTAGCGTGTGTCAACCCAGAGACTGGGGCAGCTTTGGAGAAGGTTTTTTTTTCTTTTTTGTGCGGAATATGAGCGGCTTTCAGCGGCATAAGCTGGCCTTTGTCGCCACTTGAGACTCACGGTGATGGTGCGCGATGAAAAGTCCACGTGTGGAACTCCAGGGACTGAACTGAGCTGTGTGTGGCTGGGGGGACGCCGAGGGGCTGGAATACGCAAGTCTCCTCGTGCTGAGAGGGAGTTGAATTGTTTGTACTTTGCAGAGATTTCAGTAAACTTACTGGCTTTCTTAGTTATCCTCATGGTGACTTGGTGTGACTTTATTGTGTTGTTTCTGCACGCATGCCCGTAACAATGGCTCTTGTTTCAAAGCAGAACGTCCAAGAGCCCATCCAAGTGCAGGGTGGCGCAAACGGACATTGCGCAACACTCAATCCGTGACAAAAGCATGACACGCGACCATCTTTAGCATCTTCCCTTTTAATATTACAGGGAGGGCATATTTTTCCATTCACATATCAAAATAATCTATTTTTAATTCGCTGTGAAAAGCAAACAAAGCAGATGACGATAAACAAAGATAAGGAAGTTACAATTTACTTGTAAATGGTAAATGTCACTTGTATAGCGCTTTTCCACCTCGGGTACTCAAAGTGCTTTACACGGTTACCGCATTCACTAACTGATGACGCAGCATCCGGAGCAGTTTTTTTTAACGATAATAATTGGGCCTTTGGTGATCCTCTGTGAAGGCTTCTTTTTAGATTATGTTTCATAGTCAGGTTGAAAATGTCATTTTAAAAATTACCCTCAGCTGGACATTGCTTGGACACGCTTTGCTTTTTGTTTTTTTATTTTACAGCTTTCCCTTCAAACACTCGTTGCGTAGTAAGTGACCTTCGCTAAATTCGTTCTCTCAATGACAAAACCGTAGCCAGCTGTGTAGCAAAATAATATACGGAACATGCTGCTTTTAAAAAGAATATTCTAAATTAAAATGTGCATGTAAAACGTATTTTATAGCCCAGTAACATTCCCAAACAGTATAAACGCCCGAGAATTCATTTTTTAATGGCGTTTTTTTTAATCAAACTAATCACGTAAATGTCTATTTTAGCGGTGCATATATAAACAACGAGAACAACAAATGCGCTATTTAATTTAACGAATGCGTCCTGCTGTATGCACTTATAAACAGGTTGAAAATCAACTATGAGCGCTATATCTGGGAAATGCACTGGTATAGATGAATTGATACCAAAATGTATTTTTACGAGTACGTAATAAATAGAATGTAAAATTAATGTTTCGTTATTTTTTTTGGCAAATGCGTTTCATCGTTTTTTGGAGCCGCGCTTTCTAACAGTTTAGAATTAAGTTTTCACTGTACTATGTAGACACCAAGCAAATGCTCGTTATGATTTCGTAAAAAAATAAAACCAGTCATTGAAATAAACATGATAACGCCAAAATCTAATTTAAAACATGACCGACGACGTCGGTCTGTTAAGTACAATGAGTCACGTTCCATATTTTAAAAATACAAAAACTATGAACGCATCTAATTTATTTGAATGTATCTGAATTCTATCGATGACAATGCAGTATTTTCTAGCTAAGAATCTCTTTTGTTAATGTGGAAAATGCATTTCATAATTTCAACCTCTTACAGCCGCACTTTCCAGTCCAGTTGTAGCCATCCTCCATGCCACCGCTAGATGTCAGCATTGGGTCGTGGAGCGGAGATGAGCTCACTTGGTCTTTGTCGTCTTGGGGTGAGTATGACCATGAACGTCATATATCGTGTCTATTTTTTCAGGTTTTGTCACAAACCACTCAAATTTGAAGACAGTCAATTGCAGTTGAAGGCCAACGCAAATTACCAAATAGCCCAACAGTGAAATACTTTAACACCGATTGCAGGACGACAATAGGAAGATACTAATAGAATCATTACCTTTCCAGTTTTAACAACAGATAGGACAATGCATGCTAATGCTAATCAACGCTCCTAGACAAGTGCAAGGATAGAATTAAAGGGTCTCGTGATTTCACACTAATACCTCCATCTGCCTTTCTATTTGGAGTTTTTAATCACGTGGAGCCTGCTATAAATGATAAAATGTTGCATTTTTTTTAATGCCATTAAAGTGTCTCATTAAAGCCTATACTTCGTATGGAAATTAATGTGACACTGTACATCACGCCCTGTCTACGTTCTAAAAACGAATTAAACACTGTAGATAAAAATGAATATTCCGTACACACAAACACACACGCCCGCGCGCACTCATTTCTGACAATGAGAGTGTTCAAGTAATCTTAATTTTTAACTTGTTTTTTTACAGTATTGATACAATGAAGTCCAGGGTTCATACGACATTGTTCCAGTCTTCATATGTACTGCACATGACCGAAGGTACGTTACCCCCCTCCCCCCCCACACTTACACTAAAAGTGACAATCCAAACATTGCACATTATCGAGACCAATGAATACATGCGAATTTGGGAAAACACATTTTGTACAGTCACAGAAAGAATAAGAAAAATCCAAGAGCCACTGCCAATGTGAATATATAGGCTCCGCGTGTTAAGGTCTTATTTGGGGGAGAAAAAAAACCAAAGATGCCAGGGGGCAACAAACCTGTCTTGTAAACATCACAAGTCTGTTATGACTCTATAGGGGCGCGGTGATGTCGTTGAGCACTTTAGGTGAGCCGCGCACGACACGACATAGAGATATGGCCACGAAGTAGTCACCATGCACCAAGTTTGTGTGCAAACTTCAAAACGACGACGAAGAAGCTGTCATGAGAGGCGAGGTCACATGGCGTCTTCTTGTGAATAGAATGTGTTTCCATGGCTGGCAAGATGTGATCAATGGATAAACATGAGTTGGAAATTTGAGTTCGCGTGGCAACATTTTGCGTCACTGCACTTTCAACAAACATGGTCTTGTATTTTTTGCATCGCTTTTTGTGTCATTTCTCAGTCCCCATTATTGTCGTTGCATCAGGGAGATGCTGGCTAGATGCGCCCAATGTGACTATTCATCGCTCATTTGCATCATTAAATAAAATATCTTTATACATCACAATATTAGCCGAGTTGTGAAGAAAAAAAACTCCTTTTCACGGCATTTAACCATTTTACGAGTAAATATGTGATTTTGACAATTTGCAAGCGGTAAATAGTCCTGTGCGTCAGTCTTATTGTCGATAAATACATTACAACAAAGCGACAAAGTCATTGCAATAAATATGTATTCATATTGAAAGTGATAATACCGTCGGAGAATGTGGAAGCGTGCCGTGTCCTCATTAAAAGAAAAAAAAACATCGTATTCGGCGTTTCGACGCATGAAGGAGCCGCTCGTCTTCTACTTCTTCTCTTCATTGTGGTCCAAAGCAACTAAATAAGACAAAGCTGCATTTTAAAACCCCCACTAGTTTAAAAAAATAAGTAGACGGGGTGGGGGGTGGCATTAGTCCGTCTGCGACCACGCAGGCACATGCATACTGACTGGGAAGCGGCTGAATTTGCATATTCGGTTGCGCTAATTGCCTTGGCGTATTTAAATATGGCTGCACGTCGACGTCACTGGACGTGCACGCGCAACCTAACTACTGCCTGAATCAATTAGACAGGGAGGGCTTTCATGATCACAATCGTTATTATAATTATGATTGGATACATTTGCCACATTATGACAGTCAACAAAAAAAAAAGTCACTCGGGTGAATGGATCATTTAGTATTATTATTTTAGTCTTCCAGAAAACTATTGATCGAAATATTTTATTTTGACCCCACAAAAAAAAAAAAAATCTTACTATGGGTTTCACGTCAAACAAAAATGCTTCGCTGTTAGATTAATAGTTCTCAGAACTTCACACCGGAGTTGTGTAGTTGAATGTAATTATAAGGGCGTCCTCTATTTAAGCCCCTTTCAACTAAGGTGTTTCCTTCGCTTTGACTGACGTGCTGCCGTTATTCTGCACGGGGATGTGTATCCGACACACTCGTCTGGGTTCAGCACTTGGTGATGATGTAAATGTGAGTGTGAATGGTTGTCTGTCTCTCTTATGTGCCCGCGGTGATTAATTAGCGACCGGTCCCGGGTGTAGTCTGCCTTTCGGCCAAAAGTCTCCCACGACCCTGAACAGAATAAGCGGAATAGAAAATGGATTTTGAGTGTGTTCTATTTGTGTCTTGTGGTGCAGTGGCAGAGGGAGCACTTTTTTTTTGGTCACAAAAAGAACTTGGGGGGTACTAGTTAGGATTTCTGAGCACGTCCTCACTAAGGATGGACTTAATTCCCCCTCCCTCCCCTCCGCAAATCATCATCATCATCATCGTCATCCCAACCAACTGACAGCAAACTTTGCACGCACTTTGTCTATTTAGTGGCAGTATGGGAAAGTTGTCTCGTGCACCCCCACCCCACACTATCCCCCTCCTCCCTTTTCCATCCATCCCTCCCCTCTCCCCCCCCCAACTCCGTCTATCATGTGCTTAGGATATGATCACACTGTGCTCAGAGGAGCTGCAGCATGCATCAAATGCAGGTTATTCTACAAAGTGCACGGTGTGTTGTCCGCACACCCCACCCCACCTCGCTTTTTATTTTGAACGGGATATTTGAGGGGGATCGTGTTTGACGACGAGTCACCACGGACCACTCATTTCTTTTGACTCACCTCCGTAGAAAGTAAGTGCAACTTTTACGTCTCGTTTTTGTGAATAGAAAAGTTCCAGGATAGAACTATACCTGTCTGGAAACGTGCCCGTGATGTGCACGCGTCGGTTTAATGAGGACTGGTTGAGGCTGAAAATATAGTTTGTTGGTTGTAAATATCTCTTTGACCCACTTTGAGATTGAAGCAGCTTGTGTTTTACTGCTGAAATTGTCATTTTCTATGAGCATCTGCGGCACTTGCCGTATTTGAACAACACATAACAAAAGGTAACACGGTACTATAACCCTTTTCGATACAAACGGCTAGGATGTGTTGCCGATTTTTTTTTCAAGCGTGTCTCGATAGCTAATGATATATGGAGCCTATATTAAGGTGGATCGAAGAGCGCCAATCGTCATTCGACGTCATGAAAGAAAACCATCAAGTCAACTTGTCACGTCACATGCATTACGTTTCTGTTGTGTTATATCATGCTACATCGCAAAGAAAAGTGTCGTTCGCGTATACACTCGCACATTCTTAGAAACAAATGACGTAGGAATTTGATTAAACTTTTTTCTAATCAAGCGTTGAGATGACGTGACCTCTGTTCGTGTGTGCGCGCGTAGGTGCGCGCGCGGGAGGCCCCTTGTGAAGCCTTAATGAGGTGGCCTTCCTAATTTGATCCTCATAATTTGCAATCTGAAGTGGGGGCGTCGAGATCTTAAATCAAGGTTATTACAGGGAAAAAAAACACAAAATACGTGCGTACATTCGTGCTTTTTGGAATTATTTCTGATGTCATCAGTATGTAGACGGTGCCCCATTGTGGAAACGTGTGTGCAAGAGAATCCAAACATAAGCGACAATATCGGTTTTAAAACGTGTAATATTTCATGAACACAGGCAGGCAGTGTGCACGGGTCACATTTGGCTCATTTTTCCACCTGCCGATTTAGCTCCGCCCACTTATGATATTGAAGCGAGCGGGACTCCTTGGAGAGTGGATGGCGTGATTGACAAACATGAATCCCGATTGTCACTCACAAACCAAGAGATTAATTTAATTGGTTTAGATCGTGTTTAATGGTATCAAGACATTTTGCATCCCGATGCGCAATAATGCTCCGCATATTTTGCACTCATGTTTGGAGATGTCGAGCCAACTATACTTACACTTGTGTTTGCGAATGATGGGGAGTAACACGCGCACGCATTGAAGGAGGCGACGGTGCCAATGTAGTCCACGCTGCAGATGCGCTAAAAAAATGGGAGTCGATAAGGATTTTGACGCATGATACAGCAAGCGAGAGCTTCATATTGCTGTTGTAAAAGCAGCCTACATTGTGCAGTTAGCTATCTCCCTTCGGATCGTCTTTTTTTTTTTTTTTTGCACGCGCGCATCCTCTGTTCAAACGCAATACCGTCGCTCTCTCTTCGAGGTAAAATAAGACGAAGAAAAAAAAATCCTAGCCGAGAAAGACGACGTGCACGGCGCTGCTCGCCGCACAAGGCGGACGTTTTCCCTCCAGCGCGGACGTGTGTGGGGAAGAGGATGAGGAGGAGGATGAGAAGGAGGTGGGGGTGTGATTTTGCAATTTGTTTTTCATGACATCACCGTATTTACATGCTCGTGGTCCAAGGCCTTTGACCTCACCGGGGTTGGTCCATATTTTGTCCAGCCTCCCCATCACGCGTTGGGGATGGCCCCTTTACTTCCACAGAGCTTGCTGAGCGAGCGAGGGGCGGCATACACGCCGCCTGCGCGTGGGACCCTCAGGCTGCCGGGCTGCGAGACATCGGCTCTATAGTTCTCCTTTACGTTGGAGGTGTACGGACAATAAGACCCTCAAAAGCAAGCGCCCGACTTCATAATCCGAAACATTTGCGTCCTGATATCCTGCGCTGTTGTTGCACTTTCCACGGGAAATCCGGATTTCCCCTTTCCACTCCTTCACGCCTTCCCTGCGTGGTGGCTTCTCCTCCGGCCTCACAGGATATATATGGCTGCTCCACAACGACTTAATAGAGGCGAACGAGCCTTTTGTGGGATTCAGGCTTATTTGCATTGCAGATGAGGGCCCCTGTGCAAGGATGACTGCACACTGTAGCCGGCCTGCTTCAACTCACTCATATCGCCTCATGTCAAGTGAATGTAACATTAACATTGGGATTATATTTCTTTTTTTTCTCTCTCTCTCGCCCTCTTTCCCATGGAGGAATTTTTGCATCCTGTGTAGAGACCGGCAATGGCAAAAAATGGAATTTAAGGCAGAATGTGTTTTTCAAAAAGGATGTATTTTTTTTTTCGTGCTTAAATGTATTTGAATTCTAAGAAATGGAAAGCTGGAGACCAGAAGCCGAGGTGTGGATGTGGATTATTGCAGAAGATAAGGAAGTGGGTTGTTATCTTTGGTTATCTAGCTGTATGAGTGTTCTGCTCGTCATAAAGCTAGATAACCGAAAGTAAAAACCACTTCCAAACTCATCGAGGACATGCACCATTAATTTCCCTATTTTCTCTGTTTTTCTGGACTTGATACAATCATAGATGTTAATTGTAATTGTTATTTGTCGATAACTTTGTAATGTATGAGACATTCTACATAGCATGCTGCTTATTCTCACATACCAAACTTTCCCAGAGACCAACTGTCCCAGGTTAATATTAATTGTTGCTTGATTATATGATACAGGGGGAACATTTAGGTCCAAACAGTGACATTTAGTGCGTATGTATATTTCCACATGTTCTAGTCAGGCCAGGAAACGGCACTGATATCCCAAAGCAAGGGCCTAATAATTAGGATGTATAGGGGGGCTAACAAAATGTGGAGAGTAGGGGGTCAAGGGGTGTGAGGAGGAAGGCGGTGGCAAAAGATGGGGGAGAGTGGCTGTGTTTGGGGGGCTGGTGGGGGGCAGTCGGGCCAGCTTAATTGATTCCGTTAACCGCAGTGCAGGAGATGTGAACGGCTCGACGATCCCATTCCCACGCTCGGTGGGGGCAAGTGGCAATGCCATGACCGGGCCCAATATGACAGGGCTGCCGGGTCGGAGAGGGTGGGGGAGGATAAATGTAGGGGGAGTTGTCATGAAAAGATGTCAAGTGCACCCTACTCATCTGCATCCCCAAAGAAAGAGGGGAACGTGGAGTAGACTTTGAAAGCCTCACGCCTGTGCCAGTTGTATGCATAATGACATGGCCATTATCTTAGTCGTAGTCGTAGTGATTTTCAAAGGCTTACGCTGCATATGGACCCACTTGAACACACTGCACTTCGGGCCATAGGCATTACGGGACACGATCCAATTTGAATGGATTGACAAGTCTTATGTGCTTTGCTTTAATTGGAACTTGGAGTCTTTTTAAGGGCTAACTCACTTCAGGTCCATCATAATGTGTAGAACACATTATGTACTTGCACATTTTAATTTGAGTCAAAATCAACAACAATCATTTGACGGACTACACCATTTTGAGTGTTTTTAATATTGTGTCCCTTTTGTGTAGCAAAACAAGGTAACCAAACAGCCGACAGGGGTCTTTCTGGTTGCTTCAGTCATCCCTGACACCTTTGAACTGACCTTTATTTATGGTGTGGACAATTTTAAAGAGGAAGTCAACCCAAAAATGTTCTAGATAATAATATGTTGAATGCAGCCCCGCTAGTCTACACATGGCATTCTGATTAATATTACATTTATGGTATATGAGTTAAGCAATAAAATCCACCCACTTTTGTCCATCTCAGCTGGCAGTGGCCATTTTGCCACTTACTGTCGACTGAAAATGACATCCCAGTTAATTAGTGCTCAAGTAACAACCAATCATGGCTCAGGTTCAGAAAACAGGTGAGCCGTGACTGGTCGTTACCTGAGCCCTGAGCAACTGTGATGTCATTTTTAGTCGACAGCAAGGGCCAAAATGGCCACTGCCAGAGATGCACAAAAATGGGTGGATTTTGCTGCTCAACTTGTAGTATACATATGCAATCTTAATCAGAAGGCTGTGTTTAAACTCGTGCATAGAACATGTTAATTTGGGGAAAAAATTGGGTTGACTTCCCCTGTAATACAAACTATTTAATGGCAAATTGTTAGTGATTTGATTTGAACTAGGCTAACACACCCCTTGTCAAGAGTCAGTTTGATTCCTCCACAAATCTGAATCACTGTATAGTTCAACTGCACCATATTTTTCCTTCGCCATTTTCTGATCATTTGTCTGAATTGGGCCTTCAGTGTCATGATTGTTTGCCATCCCTAAAAGTCTTTGAGAAAAGCAGGCTATTTGCCTGACAGAACATTACAGGAAGTGGGCCTGAGCTGTTACGAGTCAAACAAGCGTTATCGTCACTGGTTAAGCCCAAGCAAAGCTTTATGAAAGGGACTAGTGTTTAAATTTGTGTGTGTGTGTGTGTGTGTGTGTGTGTGTGTGTGTGTGTGTGCGTGTGTGTGTGTGTGTGTGTGTTGGGGGCTCAGGGTTGGTGGGGGTGTCACTCTACATGCCAGCCCACAGCTAGCTAAAGCACTTGACCTCTTTCTGCCTGCAGCAACATTACCTAATGTATTTTTCTTCACATTTCTGAGCGTTAATCCTTTTAAATTCATTTGTACTTTATTATCAGAGATTTGATTGAAAGGCAGTAAAGATTCAGAAAGATTCATCCCCACAGCCAAGAAAAGTAATCGAATGACGAAGTGTATTGTTACCAGGAGGGTGCGGCATCTCGTCTCACACACTTGCATGCTCAGACTTGCTCGGTGTCCTTCGGTTAGCTTTCATAAATTAGCCTGGCATTTGTGTGCGTGTGTATGTATTTTTGTAACCCACTCTCTTTTCTACTTTTCATGCCTTTAAATTTTATGAAAAACATTGTTGCCTTTTTTTTTTTTTTACCCTTCTGGTGTTCCTGCTATATTGCTGGAGAGGCCCGGCACCATTTGCGTATACCGTATTACCGTAAATATGACTAGGGATTCTTGTCCGTGCCCCCCTTGCTCGTTCACACCACCACGCTCATTAGTCGTC